TTATTACTATTATTATATGAATAATGTAAAAACAAATAAATAAGGCTATCATTTTTTCCCCCATTTATTATGGTCAGACAGCATGATGTGGCAGTATAAGGCACTGAAATGTAGGCATCATAAAAAAATGACAAATGTTGAAAAATTACCATGCTGCTGCAAAATGTGTACAATATTAATGTTGTATTCTAATGATTTTATATTTAGGAAAGTCAACGAATCATAATTATAGCATGAACTGAACTCATATCCAAACTTTATATTCAATAATTAAAGTTCGCCAGATTCCAGAGTATCATTGGATAAGCATGTATCTTTATATATAATAGGTTAATTCTAACGCCAATTATAGACAGTTAATTTTCATTTTTTTTTCTTTGACCATGTTTGTTTCAGATTGCTCTTAAGAAGCCTGAACTAACAATCTTCCTTACTGTAAACATTTTAAAGAGTTTCTATATTCCAAGCAGCAGCAATTTTCCAATACACAAAATAGGCCCCAGCAAATGATTGGACTGTCCAGCCACTTTTAGAAATATTTTTGCTTTGTGTGTGTGGGTGCTTTCAAGTCAGTCTTGACTCCTAGTTACTACATGAACAAGTCCCTGTAGGTTTCTTGGCAAGATTTTCAGAAGTGGTTTGCCACTGCCTTTTTAGAGCTGAAAGAGAATGACTGGCCCAAGGTCATCCAGTTGGCATTCATGCCTAAGGTAGGCCTAGAATTCACAGCCTCCTGGATTCTACTCCAGTAATTATACCAAACTGGCTCTCATTTCCATTATAGTAAAGTCCTATTTCCTGATTAAATATTTTTCAGAATATCTGAATATCACAAAACCTTCTATTCGCACCCCAGAGTATCCATTGTGATACAGGAGCCTGTGTCAGAATTCAAGATTTTGTTATCTTCAAGGGTTCAGAATATTTTGAACACATTAATTGAATAATTCTTCCTGATTATTTTCTTTTGAGACTCTATAGAAGTAGCCTATGATAGCAGAACCTATAAGAGCACTGCAGTTATGTAAATTGAGAAAGTCCAGGATTTTAATTTAAAAAATAATTTTCTTTATATTCATGAACCTGTTAAAACTGATTTTAATTGTACCAAACTGATTCTAATCATGTTTGATTATATCAAGATGTATATATATCTATTTCACAGATATATTACCAGGCCATCTTCAAGAAATGTATGCAACACAAACGTATGTAACAACTCTTCAATCTTTCCTTTGATTTTGAAAGTTTGTCTTTATATGGAGTACTGAGAATGTTATTAAACTGTGACAAGGCTAGGTACTAGAGTTATCTTCATTATTGTTGTTATGCAGGAAATTCCAAAATTGCTTTATTTCCTGTCATCTCTTGATTGTGTGTTCCTATGTGGACTTTGATGTCGTAATTTTGCTTCTGCCTTCAGCTGAAACTTATTTATTACATCGCAAACATATAATTTACTCCAAAGCAGTTCAAATTACAGTAAAGGAACCAGAAAAGACAGATTAGTGATGGGTAGCTTCCATTCTTCATAAATTCTATGAAATCTTGGAATTTAAAAAAATGCTGGGTTGGTTCAAACTGAAATAATGCCTGAAAGCTCAGCAACTCTGGCATCAGAAGACAGATACTAGTGAGACTATTCAAATTTAAATGACAACTTCCTATGCTTATAATTGATCCGAGCGGTGGCAATTTAGTGGCAGGAGTGACTGAAAGCAATAGAAACTCTTGTCTTTAACTCTGCAAATGAAATGAAAGTCATGCCTTTAATGCTATAGTCACGTGAAAGAGAAAAAAAGCAAGTTTATTAACCTGAGGAAACACTTAAATGATGGAATGGACATTACCAAAAAAAAAAAAAAAAAAGAGGAAGCTTGCAACTATGTGAGACTAAATGCATTCCAAGTAGTTATAGTGTATGACAATGACTTTTTGCTGATTACAGTGTGGGATAGATGTGATGCAAATTTGCAAAATTTGATGGGTTTGGGGATGCATGTTATTTATTATAAGGAAACATTTTTTTCACATTTGGAAATAAAAACAAAATGGATAAATTGGATGTACACCATGCCATCTAATTGTTTTCTAGACTTGAAGACTAAAAGCATATGTACTAATTTTCAACTTTACTTTATGGATAAGCTATGATCTAGGTGGTTTGCACTGCAGTGTATAACTGTTATCAAAACTTGGACCAGAGCATCAGTTATCTATGTCTATGAGAGTTACTTATACAGTGCATCAAAGACATAGAACTGCAAATCAATCTAGTACTTTTTAGAGTACCAAATATGGAAACCAAAGCTCATGCATACCCAGGCAACCTATTAAACACTTGTCTATACTCAAATTCTGGAGTTTTTTTTTTTTTTTTAAACTCTAATGTACTTCTACTTTCTCTGCCAAAGGGCAAATTCAACAACAAATTGTGTCATGAATGTAATTTCCTCTGTGAATCAGTAGCAGATAAAACCACTGGACATCTTTTATATTGCTCCTTTTACTAGTAATTTTGTATGGAACTTATTTCACGTCTACTACTACTACTACTACACCATCCTACATACTTAGAAGCTTAATATTTGATTTCTTTTAATGGATAAGCAATATCATTTACAAAATAGTAAATGTTGTGTTCAGGCTTGTAGAAGCTGTTGATATATTTTAAACAAACCTTTGTTATAAAAGAAATACATTTTATGATAACTTCTGTGGCATTTTAATTGTATCACACCTATGTAAAGACGCATGAAAACTGGTCTTGGACTGTAATAAAGAGATATTCTATTTTGCAAAAAAACCCCTTGAATGCTGTTCAATGAAGACATTTCCACATTGGTGGAAACTTTATGGAATACAGTTATCATTTAGTTAATTTCTTACATTCAAGAGTTATAATATAAATTATCCCCAAACCTTTTCTTTTCAGATTTTGAACATTTTGTATATTTTAGATATGACAAAAGGATGTTGAGGTATTTATAAACAGAAATTGTTTATAATATAGTGTATCTGTTTCAGACTAAGAGTTTGAAGAAATCAGCTTTTCCAACTTGCAGCTCCACTGAAATAAACAAAGAGGTAATCTGTTTCAGGCATTTATAGGATTACAATTCAATACAGTAATACCCTTGATTCTAATTGTCACTAGACTCCATGACAATATTGACATTAAGTACATCCCTTTGTTTTCCCTTTATACTTGGAAAAAACAGTTGTATTGATAGTAAAATCTGCTCTGTGAGTTCTGTAGCCCATATTAACAACATTCTATTTATCAATATATTTCTTCTGCAGGGATCTTGGCAATATAAAAATAGCATCTGTACACATATCCAACTGCTCTGATGATGATATGGATTTTGTTAAATATATTTTTCATTCATTTGCCTTCCCTTCTCCAGTATACATGAAAAAAAAAATGGACAAGAAGGAGTCAGATATTGGGCAAACAGCAGTCAGTTGTACTTTCAGATATTATGGAGATGATAAACCTGGGGTGTCTGAGGACAAAAGGAAAATAAAATGACTATACTTAAAAATATTTGTATTGCTCCTGACAGTGTGCTGAACTGTAATAATAAGGTCTCTCCATGATGGACAGATGGATGTTTCTGAGATGTTGTTGGAACATCAGATTCTTCTTAATATATAGTAATAATACTTATTGCTCTTTATAGAGATACACATCGGGAATATATATGTAAATGAACTATTCTGTGCAATCTCCAATGTTTCCTTTCATGACAATTCAAAATAAATAGGGTAAGTTTGTAAGTTATGTGCATGTATAGAACCCAAGCTGCATATAGGGTGATTCTTAAAAACCTCATCTGAAATACTGGTTAATAGCTGAGAAAAATAATTTCCCTCAGAGTATATGTTTGTGATATAATTACTCAAAGTTAGATTAATACACATAACAAATTTTCTAACACTCAACATCCTCTGTAAAAATGTAAATACCAATGCTGCTTTTTAAAAGTTATTTCTTATGATTGTGTAATATTAGGATATAGTGTCTTAACAGGACAAATGAAGATGTTCTATTTTCATCTTATATAGTTCCATAAAATGTCTGGGATCATAAGAGTATCTTTTCTGCAGGATTGTTTGGTTAAGCATTGCAGTAAGGCTATATTATATCTATGAGAAGTGTAGTACAAATTAGAAGTAATATGATATAATAGAAGTCCTTCATTTTACAGAACACATTTTTTTCAAGTAATATAGATACCAATTTCTTCTTTAGGAACTAGGAATATACAAATCTATTTCTATTGTCTGTACAGTAGTTGCACAATACTGTACATTAATCTACAGTATGGTTAACTGAACCATGGTTTACTCACCTAATTTTTTGGGACTGCAATACACTGAATCGTCACCTAACCACATGGACTAGGCTCACACAACATGCAAAGCTAAAATGTGATTGGTTCAGTATATCATATAAACACAGATGAGTCAATCTGTTAGTCTATCTAGCTCAGGATAGCTGATTAGGTTTGAGGCAGTAATTTTGCTAGCCCTACCTCGAAATACCAGGGCCTGAATATGGGACGTTGGCATTCAAAGCTTCATATGTATGCCTGTTTAAATTATGCTGTAATAAATATTTTTTTATTTTTATTATTTTATAGGGAGAAAAATATGCAGAAAACTATTGCAGAAGTAATAAACCTAGCATGAGCAGTTATGTTTGCATAGCATACTTACCCATCGTTACTCGACCCGTTTTCTGGGTTCGTGCATGAATTAAAATAATCGCCCAGGCTAGGTTCTCATAATATGCTAGACTACGTATCACTCTATCCTTGCCTACCAGCTCATTAGAACTAGGCCTGCCTTCAACTAGGCTATCCTGGCTAGGAACGTACGCTGGCCCTGGGGAAAAAGAGCATCTTTCTCATCTATTGTCTTTTTCCATCCTGAGTTCCTCGCAGAGTTCATGCGTTTAATGCATTACCGAAGGCCGGTCTCTGGAGGGCCGGGCACACCCATGTGACCGCTCCGGCGGGCGGGCAGAAACGGCCGCCCCGAGTAGTGGCGGCCTACCCGGGCCCGGCAAGCAGCAGCGTCCCCGCTGTTGATTTTGTCGCTGCCGGGCCCGGCTGGGGGAGGTCGCCCCTCGATGGGGAGGCCGAGCAGCCCCCCGCAGGCCGAGATCCGCTCTCCGCTGTGGATGTTGCCGGAGGAACTGCTGCTGCTGATCTGTTCGTACCTGGACGCGAGGGCCTTGGGCCGCCTGGGCCAGACCTGTCGCCGCCTTTGCCGTTTCACCTCCCGGGATGTGCTGTGGAGGCGCCTCGCCCGTTTCTGCCTCAACGCAGGCTTCAGCGCGCTGGGCGCCGACCTGTAAGCGCCTAGGCTGGGGAAGGCTGGTTGGGAAAAAACAGGGCTTCGCGGCCTAGCCGGTTGCTAAGGAGCAACTCTGAAATCAAGGCCCGCCCGCTCAGTTAAGGGAGGAGGGCTGTGCTTGTAACAGCGTAGTCGCGGGGCGGAAGGAGGGAGAAATACCGCTGAAAGCCCTGGCGAGAAGCTTTGCTTTGTGAAGGTGGGAGGTCTCAGGTCCGGGTTGGGTTGTGTCCCGTGCTGGGCATGAAACAGCCTTGATTTCAGTTGCTCAAAGGGGAAACTCCTCGTTTTACGTTCCCTGGAATCTACTGGCCGACTATATTGGATGCGAGATTGCTGGTGACTTTTCTTACTCCACTTTTTTGACACTTGCCCCGCCCCGGATTCGAATTAGAAGCACATTTAAGGCAAACCCGAGTTTACCAGTTTCAAACAAGCTTAGCTGACTAACTTTAGAGGAGTCCAGGGAACTGTTGTAGTTCATTTTGAGGGGAATATACTGTTTTTATACATAGGTGTATGCACACATACAGGCACAACAGAGAAAATCAAATAATGATTAAATACAGTAGAAAACAAGTGTCATTACTTAGAGTTCAGCATCTGTCTGAAAAAATTTTTTTTCCTCTTTCCTAAAATTTAGTTAGAAAACGTATACACTTTAAGATTTTATAAGGTACTGCAAAAACGTCCATTAAAACAATAGAAGCATAACAAATATAAAACATACATGGCTAAAACAATAGAAAATGTGTTTTCAGATCCCTTCTAACTGTAATAAAGGGTTTTGCTTCCTTTTTATTACTATTGGCTAAATTAATCTACTTGCACATTGAAAGTGCAGATTTTGTATAGCATAACATTTCATAGATCTCCATCAGTTGTGTATGCACATCTAATGAAATAAATTATGGTGCGCAAATGCTTTATTTTATCTCAGAGGCCAGTTGAGTTAAGTGGTTGGCCTTATGCGATATACTTACCTGTGGATTTTTAAATCATGGTTTACTCAATTTTTTTCTCAATTATAATCATGTATGCTGGGTTCATAGACTACGCATAGAATATGCTAGGCTAAAATGGGCTTGTGTAGTTTGTGATTCCAGTTTGTGATTCCGTGTGTCATGTGGATATAACCAGTGATACTTCTGAGTAGCATGAGTAGCTGTCTTACTAGTCAGAGATGGGATAGTTTTGGGACATAGATTTCTTTATACTTGTCTACTATAGTATAGGTTATGTTAAAGAATCACAAAGTGTTCTTGCTTCTTTCATCAAGTTTATGTCATTCCCTTATACTGACAGAGAGGATGGTGTCAATGGCTAGAAATTTGGCGGTTTCCAGAGGATATATCGACTGATAGATGCCTCCTGTATAAATACTCAAGATTTGTTTTTTTCCCTCAAACATGAATCAGCTCTTTTTGGTGATGAAGTCATCTTGTATTTCTGATGTGGATGAAGGTTACAGTGAGTTGGGTAAAGATGCCAAATAAGTGAGATTGTATCACTCAAAGATGGGGATGGAATTTTCCATTTCTTTTCCCAGGTATTGTTGAGTGAGATTGAGATTTGCTTTTCAAAATAGATAAAGTCTGTTTTCCAGTCAGAATAATTTTGGGCTACACAGCTATGGTTCTTTATAGTTAAAGCACTGCCTTGGGAGATGTACACAAGCCATTTGTAGTGACTCTAAAATCTGATAGTTGTGTTAGTTCTGAAGCCTCAAAATGTTTTAGTCTTGTTAGAAGTGAGTTTGAGTAGGTATGCAAGGGTATGTGAACATGTGGAGTTTTAGATTGTGAGGTGAATAAAAGTTGTAAATCTGCATTTGTCTCAATATGTCTGAGTTGATAAAAAGTAGCAGCACTGGAGGTACTTTCAGACCTTTAGTGTGACAATCACAGATACAACATTTCTGAGTAATGTTAATCTAGAAAGAAAATGGAATGTCTTCCCTGATCAGTACAGTACACATTTGCCATTCACTTTATGAAGATTAAAAAAAATCAGATGTTGATTTAGATGTTATGTATAAATATCTGAAGCCATAGGAAATATTGTGACTGCTGAATCTAGAGAATTCCCACAATTATTTATTTATTTTTCAAATTTATACAGTATAGTTGCCCATCTCATATATATGACCCTGAGTGGCTTACAAATAATTAAAACAAATATAAAAACAACAAAAAAGAATACAACAATTTAAAAAACAAGAAAAAACAATATAAAAGCATATTTAAAAAATTATAAAACATTCATAAGATTCATAGCTGAGGTAATCACATCTAACGATAACACTCAGTACAAGCACTGTGCCGGCTCTGCCATATCGGCTGGTCCCCAATGCCTATTAGCAAAACAATGTTTTAAGGGTCTTTCAAAAGGCCAGCAGGATCGGGCCAATCTAATCTCCGGGGGGATGATGTTCCACAGGGTGGGCGCCACAGCAGAGAAGGCTCTCCTAGGCCTCACCAGACAACACTCCTTAGCTGATGGGACCTGGAGCATGCCCCTTCTCCTGAACCTGATGGGACAGGTAGATAAAATTGGGGAGAGGCAGTCCCTCAAATAACCTTAACTACTTATGTACAGTATATAGCTAGAAATTGGAAAGCTGTTAAAAGAAAACTAAACTATAATGTAGTTTATTTAGCAAATGTCACACTTTCCTGTTTGTGGATCATTTTTAACAGGGTGGAAAACAAGTTTATAGTACTTAACATGTTGTGAGGAAAATTGTATTTAATAATTGGTGGTGGGGGTTTTTTTTTTGGTGCCTTTCAATCAATGTTGATGCCTGGCAACTTCCCGGACAAGTCCCTGCAAGTCTTGGCAAGATTTTGGAAGTGGTTTGTCATTTTCTGCTTGCTAGGGCTGAGAGAGAGTGACTGGCCCAAAGTCACCAGCTGGCTTCATGCCTAACTCATGGTCTCTAGCCTGATGCCTTAACTACTACACCAAATTGGCTCTCTATAATTAGATTTAGTATTATTATAAGTGCTTCATGGAGTAGTTGGATAGCTTTAGCTAAAGCTACTGCTTTATATTCTAGTGGGTTAACTATTTATAAAACTAGTTTATCAGTAGTAGAATATAAGAGAAATTGTATTCTTGAAGTATTGGAGGAACCATAATTTGATGGTAGAATATGCAGAAGGTCCAGGGTTAATTCTTGACTGTTACAGGATCTGAGCGTACGGATTGCTGTGTTAAAATAAGGAGTGCTAGATTAGATGAGCTAGTGGATTTATCCACTTAACATAGCAGAACCATAATCAGTTTAACGTTCTATGTCATTTTCAATTTTTAAATATTGCTGTTGTTTTTTAAACAAAATTCAGGAGCTTATTATTTTTCTGTAATCCCACTTTTTATTTGAATATAAATTCTGGCCTTTGTAAATTTTATAGTCTTCTACTTTCTGTTATAATTCCGAAGAACTTTAATTTCAAATATTAATACGCTGTCTTTTAATCTTGGGTCAGGAAACATTACTTAAGCTGAAACTGATACTAGAGGTTCATGTAACATATTTGTCTTCATTAATGGATAAATGTAATTTATGGTCTTGGCAATAAGATTAAAACATAACATGTTCTTCAACAGAATACAAGGAAACAAATCAAGAGTTGGGATAGTGGGAGGCAGGAAGGAAAAGGAAATACCTTATACAGTATGTTAGTGCTTGGAATAATAGTTTGCTGGCATTAGGGGTGTGAACTGTAGGGTTATTATACCTTTCAAGATTTAGTATCTGCATGCTGACTGTACTGTGTTGTGTTTCCTTCTGAGGAAATAAATGTTTGCATCTTTTATTAATATGCTTTATATTGGGGTCAGGTAGAGTAGTTGGAATCATGTCTTATTTCAAAATGAAAGACAGAACAAGTATTTAACATTTTAATTGCTGAGGAAAATGTACATGTACTGGTTAAAGCATATATACATTTTTGAAAGTATATTCATAGTTTTTATTTGATTTATTAAACTGCACTCCATGGTCCAAAGAAAAGCAAGATAGTTTGCTTTTAGGCTATTACAAAATCTGTTTGGTTTTTTTTTTGAAACAGTGATTTATAACCACATTTCCTAACAGCTTAACGAATTGTTCAGTTTCCCATCGTCATCTCTTGTTACCTCTTCTTATACCTCCTCTTACTTGGTGCCCTCTACATATGTTGAAACTACATTGGGAATTCTGACAATTTTAATATTGCCAGTTGCAAATAGATACATTATCTAAGATGTAATGTAATTTACTTAATTTCGGATTAGTATATATATATGAATCCAGTCATTGTGGTCTGTAAGCTCATGGTTTTTTGCTTTATAAACATGCCATGATTACATGTTTAACTGTAGTTAAAACAAACTTTGGTTCAACTTAGTGTCCTAGGTTTTAGCTTAGCCAAGTCTTGATCAGTTTGAACTGTTTCAGGCTGCATTCTTATTCATTGAAATGGGGATTACAGTTGATATAGATTAAGTAGGAGAATTACACATTATTTTATTGTTACAAACCCCCAAGGGTCCTGGCAAAGTCATTAGGGTACAAATGGAATAAATAATGAATAAATTGTTTTTAACAATAGTCATTAAGTTTTTCTATTAAAAATGCACAATGCTAATCAAAAATTAAATGAAGCCATCTGAATTACATGAAAGACCAAAACAAACAAGCCCCATACAAAAAAAACCCTACTTTAGTAAGAAAATATGAAAGTAAAAACAAACAAAAAAAAATAATCAAGTCCATTGCAGTGGACTTATAGTGATATGCTTACATAACAAGAGTAGTAAGACATTTGTCACATTTTTGGCTTCATATTGGTAGCTTTTGTTCTTTAATGGGTCTAAGAACCTTGTTTTTTCATGTTTATCTTGTAAATTGTAAAGAAGTGGACATGGACTGAGCTCCTGAATAGTTGTATTGTGCAGGTGGGCTAGATAGATGCAGATACAGTACTATGTTCTTAGCATGACTTATCATAGAT